TTAGTTGTCAAATGTGTTCCTTGGCCAGAGGCAATGCTGTGTGGAATTCCATGATGGTGGATAAGGCATTCTATAAGTCCATGGATGCTGGTTTTGGCAGAAACATTAAATGCAGGGAAGGCAAGTACTTATCTATGCCAGTAAGGACAAAGCACTGCCTTTCACGTGATGAAAGAGATCTAATATAATCAACCCTCCACCATGTTGCAGCCTGATACCCTGGAGAATGCTGCCATACCCATACTCAGCATTGGTCTCTGCTGCTAGCATGCTGGGCATTGACCAGTGACAATAGCCAGATCAGTCCCAGTGAATGAGAGTCCCTGTTGTCGAGCCCATGCATAGCCTCCATTCTTGCCACCATGACCACTTTGCTCATGGGTCATGTGGGCAATGACAGGATGACTGCAGAAAAAAGTTGACCATTCTACAGAGTGGTCACCCTAGCCATTTGAGTGTTAAAGTTCTCTTCTGCTAAGGTCTCCTTTTGGTGAGTGTTTACACAGAATACAACTATCTTTCAATCCTTTGCCCATATGGGGAGATCTATCTCCATACCTCTCCCCAAATATCTTTTACCACCAATTTTATGGTTGTGTTCTTTGCAAGTTCCTGACCATCTGGCAGACCTTTGGCTACAACTTATGAATCAGTATAGTCACACATCTGGCTATTTTTCCTTCTAGGAAAAATGTACTACTAGGTATACTGCCCCAAGTTCTGCCCATGGTAAAGATTTCCCTTCACTGCTGTTCTTCAGGGATGTCCCGGAAAGGGGTTGTAATGCTGCCTCTGTAATGTGCAAAGACATCTATAAAGCAGGCCCAGCCTCCTCTTCCTTTGATGGCTGATCATGTGGTACATCCCATTAGTCCACAGGTGCACACTGGGAGGCAAAAGGCAATATGGCAGGTATAAGAGCCATGGGCATTCAGGCAGCTTATTCATGTAACTGACTTGAACCCTCTGGACATGATCTGGCTCCTTCATGTATATACCACTTCTATTTAATGAATTAAATGAAGTGGTGTATATGTGAAGTTGCTGTGCACGTCCAACTTGGTGGATCAGAAAATAACCAGCTCATGATGGGCAACTCAGTTTACACGATAAATGGGATCTCCATGGGCAAGCGTTAAGTTTCCACGAAGGCCCAGTAGCAAGCCAGCTGTTTTTTAAAGGGAGAGGAGTTGTTTGGAGAGGATGCCAACGTCTTGCTCCAAAATCCCAAGGCCTTCGCTGTGATTCACCAATGGGGCCTGCCAGAGACTCTAAACAACATCCCTACCTGCCGCTGCCACTTCAAGTCCGTTGGACCTGCTGGATTGTCTGGCTCCAGGGCAGAGTGCCTGCCAAGCAGCCTGGACCTGTTGCAGAGCCTTCTCTTATTCTAGGCCCCACTCAAAACTAGCAGCTCTCCAGGTCTCTTGGCAGGTGGGCCAGAATACAACATCTATGTGAGGAATGTGCCTTCAAAATCCAAAGAGGCCAGTGGGTGCTGTGCTGCCTCTGGGTGGAGCGGGAGTGAGATGTGACAACCTACTTTTTACTCTCCAAGGCTGTCTCTGTATGCCTCCACCCCACTGGACTTGAGAAATTTCACCGAGGTAGAGGGACCTCACCGACGGACCTTCGTGTCCTCACTGATGAAGTGGGTGATGCAAGTTCTAACTGGCTGAATGTTGTGATAAGGACTGAACAGTTACAGTTCAAAAAATGGCTCTTATTGCTATTACTGTTATTTGATTTTTCTAGAATGCAAGTACTTTTCTTCAGATTAAAAAAAAGGTGATAAGTAGTCCAACAATTAAAAAAGGGGACGGTCACGTTAGAGCTCAGTCTCTAGTTCTGATATAACCTTTTCTGACTTTAAAAAAAAAATGCCTGTAGGGCTGGGGAGATAGCTCAGTGGCATAAGTGCTGGCCTGGCAAGCACAGGGAACTGGGTTCGATCCCCAGTACTGCATGCCGTGTTGAGCCCAGGACCCCAGGGGCACTGCGCTGCCCCAAAACCAGGCATGGTGGCACATGCCTGTAATCCCAGTGCTTGGGAGGCTGAGACAGGAGGATCACTATGAGTCCAAGTTGAATAACATGACCCTGCATTGCAAGAATAAGAAAAAAAAAATGCCTGTCTTGGAACCGTTCTACATTTGATTACATTGTAGGTTCAATTCTAAGAGTTTTGACAAGTATATACATTTTGTTACATGTTAATTTCAATTGAAATAAGATTTTGTAACACAAATGTGATCACAGTTAAGCATGTTATTTGTGATCAGCTTGCTTTCAATTGCAAAAGTTATACATAATCAGCTGTGTGTTGTGGCACATGCCTGTCACTCTGGGAGGCTGAGGTAGGAACGCTGCAATTTTGGACCCAGTTTGAACAACTTAGCAAGACCCTGTCTCACAATACAAATACAAAATAAAGAGCTGAGGATATAGCTCAATGTAAAGGTCCTAGGAACAACAACAAAAAAGTGTTCTGCAGGGGCAGGGAGATAGCTCAGTAGAATAAGCACTTGCCTGGCAAGCACAAGGTCCTGAGTTCAATCCCTGGTACTGAAAAAAAATCTGCATACTCATAAAATTTCATACAATATGGAATTGAAAAACTAAATGCTAGTTGCTCAGGCCAGTCATTATGAACCTTTTGGTATGCAACATTTCATTTCTACATATGCAGATCTATATCTATATCTATATCTATATGTAGATATAGATAATTGATTGTGTAAATGTGATAAATGATTGGAAAATAAAATATGATCAGAGGCAATTTGCTATTTTGCACTTACTGCATTTTAAAAAATACCTCATAATATTCTATACAGCAGGAACAGTTTAATTTATTTAACAAATTCCTTATTAGATTGTACCCAATGCTATAAATAAAACCTTGGTTTTCTAAAAATGTACAAGGTATCTTAATTGTGTTTCTGTGATTATATAAAGATTGACATTATACTTTTATCTTTTAAAATGGATACAGAATATTTTGTAATTTAAAAAAAAATGTACTTGGTTGTTACAGGGTCTCACTACGCAGCTTGGACTCATAGTGATCCTCCTGCGTTCAGCCTCCCCAGTGGTGGGATTATAGGCGCAGGCCACTATGCCTGGGCTCTGGGGGCTCAGCTTGCCCTGGGGGCAGGCCTGGCATGGTATGCGGTGCTGGGGATGGAGCCGCGGTCCCTGCACTTGCCTAAGTTTGACTAAGCAGGTGCTTTAGCCCGCTGAGCTATCTCACTGGCCCTATTTTGTAATTTGGATGAAATAGTTTATTTAAATACATCCTTATAAAAATGTCCTCTCACTTTGCTCTACCCTTATTGATAATGAATGTCCTTTGTCTTGAGCATTTTCTCATCGCTAGAGTACAATACCCAGTACCCACAATTTCAAGGAACAGAGGTTTTTGGGCTTGTAGCTTTTAGATTCCATCGGTACTGGGCTGGCTGTAGGGCAGGACAGCATGGTGAAAAGATCCAGGGAGGAAAGCTGCTCACTTCATGGCGCCCAGGAAGCAGCGAGCAAAGGGAGGAGCAGAGGGTGGGAGGCGGGGCGGGGGAGGGGAAAAGCAGACCCTTCAGGCCACACCCCCTGGCCCGCATCCTCTAACCAGACCCCACCAACCAACAGCGCTTTCAGCTCTGAACTCTTCGGTAGCTTAATCCGCTGGTGAATAGAGAAACTTCACAATCCGATCCTCTTCTAAAAACCCCCCTCTGATTGTATGACCCTTTGGGGAACAGTCTAGGTCTAAACCATAATATCCCTCTACTATATAATCCATGTGCCAAAGTCTTCTTAGATCAAGGAGTATTCACATGTAAAATGTTGAAAGAAGTTCCCAGCTGCCTCTTGACGACAAAAGCCACTTTTCTCCCACTGCTGGTACAGGTCTTCCCTATACTCTCAGCAGTCTCGCCTTCCCTCCTTAAGTCTGGACAGTCCGTTGGCAGTGAAGTGGCTTCTCATTTGTGTTTTAACATACAGTTCTCTGATTATGAGGATATTGGCCCTATGTATTTATTTATTTGGTACAAGGTCTAACTATATAGTTTAGTCTCATAGTGATCCTCCTGTCTCAGCCTCCCCAGCGCTGAGATTACAGGGGTGTACCACCATGCCCAGTGTTCTGGGGCTGGCACAGCATGCAGTTCTGGGAATTGAACCTAGGTCCTTATGCTTGCCAGGCAGGCACTTAGACTGCTAAGCTGTCTCCCTGGCCTGCAACCCTGTTTTTGAACTTCTTAGCTATTTGAATGCTCCTTTTTTGCAGATGTGCATGCTGAAAGATGATTTGTTAGCAAATAGCTTTGAGTTTCATTGGACTTAGAGCCAGAAAATTCTGGGTTCAAGGCCCATCTCCTCCACAAGCCATAGTTTGGCTTTGCACAAGTTATTTCTGCTTTCTGGACTTTCATATCTCCATCCAAAATGGAGGATGCCTGTTCTGAGGGATTCAGGTCCACCAAGCTCCTCTGAAAGACTTAGATGCTGGGAAGGTGGCAGTTAGGTTAGGAGTGGTGACAGTGGGTGAGTCCTATCTTGCTGGTGTGACAGTGCATCTGTGTGGTAAGCTCCCCATACCACAAAACACATGAGCATTAGTTGGACAAATGCATACAGGACTCCTGCAGGAGACCAGGATAGGGTGAGTGCGGGGCTTTCACAGATTCCAATGTTCTGTGGCTCTCAAGATTTTTTCCCCTTTGGTCCAGTCCCTTTCCTAGGGTCCTTGAATTGGGATGATAAGCATTTGTTTGGCTCAAGTAGGTCTCAGTTCCCCAGGGAGCTGTGGCTCGGGGCTTTGTCCCTGTGAGTGGACATGTCCCTGTTGGGCCCTGGGCAGGACAGCATCTACCCTCCCAGGTTCCTGAAGTCCCCGTCCCTGGGGCCCAAATCCCCTCACTAACCCTCCTTTGCAATCAGCCTAACTACAGGCTGCTGAGAAGCCCAGGGTCACGTGATTTGGGGCCTTCTCATTGTAGGTTTATTTCTGATGCTGTCACAGGCATGGCCATTGTCATCATCTTGTTCTTCTTCCCATCCCAAAAGCCTTCTCTCAAGTGGTGGCTTGACTTCAAAGGTAAGAGGATCAAGGCTGGGGCCTGGCTCAGTGTGGACTGCGGCATGGCATGTGGGGGCCAGTGAGCAGGAGCAGCCCCTCTGTCCCAACACATGGTCCTGCATGTCCCCTTGCACTGTCCGAGTGGTTACCTCGTCTGGGGACCTGGAACTGCCATTGGGGTGACAGTGCAGGATGGGCGTTATCAGCTCTCCCTGGGCCAGGTGCAGGCACATCTGCGTTTATACAACTCTTCAGCTGAGAATGAATTTCACATTTTTAAATGGTCAAAATTATTTCCTGCCATATGAGCACTATGTGACAGTCAAATGTCAGTGTCCGCAGAGTTTTGCATTTCCTAGAGGAATTTGTGGGGATTTGTTTTCTTTGCCTAGGTGAGTACTGCCATGGAGGCCTCAGTGTTGCTGCAAAGCCACATACAGTTACTTCCTGTCCCTTAACAGAAAACTGTGCCTGATCCCCTCACTGGAGGCAGTGACCTCAGCTCAGTGGCTTAAGGGCCAGGCAGGCCAGCCAGGCTGGGTCTCACCTGAGCAAGGAAGCATGGGGTGGAGGCAGACACCCTAGCGACAGTCAAATCCTGTTTTGAAAGCTCACAGAACACCCCTGACCTGCCCTCCTTAGTCTGGCCCCAGGCTGCCTGTCCACTACCCCTGAGTTTCCAGTAGGGGCAACCCCAGCATCTGCCATGGGGATCAGTCCAAGACAGGCCTAGAGTACACCTGGGGCAGCAGGAGGCAGGGGCTCTTACGGAACTGTATCCAGTGGCTGGAAGAAAGAGAGGCTGATGCAGGCTGGTTCCAGCCAGGTAAGTACGTGTGGGAGGCCAGGAGTTCCAGGGCTCCTTAGTGGCTGTGTGGGGCTGGTACCTGGAGGTGGAAGGGAGCAGGATTTCACGCCTCCCGCCTCCCTCGCTCCGCTGCCCGCTCTGCCTCACAGCTGGTTCTGCTCACAGATCTTGCTTTTTGCACGTGTAGCTTCTGCTTCGTGATAGTTCCTGCTGTTCCACAGCTTCCGTTCTCCGCTGTATCCACTCCCCCCTGGTGTTGTCTCCTTGCTGCACTGTTCCTGCTTCTGCCGACTCCCAGCCCACTCCTGCCCTGCCTGTGGCGCAGTCCCCTGCCTGGCCAAGCTGTCTCCTTAGTTACCCCTTCCCTTCTCATGGCGTCTCTGTCTGCTGTTGATGCATCTGACAGCCAGAATCTGCCAGGTGCAGCTTGTTCTCAGGTGACCAATCCCACAGCCTCGTGGGCTCCGGCCAGCTCAGATGTCACTAGGTCCACGTAGGTCCTTAATGCCACTGCTCTGATGGCACTGTCTGCGGAGCTGTCCCCTGGGGGGAGCTGGGCTCCCAGGGCAGGCACAGAGCGGCAGCTCTGTTACACTGTCTGGAGACCTCTAAATCCCTCCTTCTGCATGCCTGGCTTTCCCACCTAGCAAGGCAAGGATCCTTCAATGTCTTCCCTCTCTAGCATTCAGTGATTTATAGTTCAGGGGTTGCAAATTAAAATATTATGGAGGCCGGAGAGATACCTCAGCAGCTCAAGGGCCTGCTTCAAACCCTTATGGCGGTAACACGCACCTGCAGCAGAGTGGGTGCAGGGAAGTGTCTCGCCAAATGCCTGGCCCTCCTCGTCCATCTTTCCCATGACATCACTGTAACAGAAAATACCCCGCAGCATAGGAACACAGAATCAGGTGACTCAAAGTGGCAAGACCTTGGTGTCCTGGCCCCACAAAGCCCTGCCCACTAGTGTCCACTTAGGGCATAGATGTTACTCAGTTTCCAAAGTTCGTCACCATGTGGGAAAAAGAACCAGGGTTGTCTAATTTGCTGAGTTTTTTGAGAGAAGCCAAGGTTTTTATTTTGGTATGAAACGGTCCTGATTTTTTAAAAAATGTATTTGGTACAGGGTCTCACTTCGCAGCTCAGATTACAGGTGGGATTACAGGTGTGTACCACCATACCTGGACTCTGTGGCTGGCTTAGAATGCCCTGGGGTGGGGAGAGGCGGAGCGGCATATGGTGCCAGGGATCAAACCCTGGTCCCTGCACTTGCCTAAGAGGGGGGTTAGTCTGCTGAGCTATCTCGCCAGCCCCCCTCCTGATTTTAAATGTTGACAGTGAATTTAAATTGCAAATCAAACTGGTATCACTGACAACAGTCCTACTAAAACTCCAGTGTGTGCTGAGTCCGGAACCTGAGTGTCAGAGTGTCACCACCACTGAGGCCTGCTGAATTGGGGTTTCCTGTGCTCCCTCACAGGGAGGAGGGCTCTGCAAGCAGCAGTGTGACTAAGCACACTTGGCTAAGATAGCCCTTGGTATCGTTTGGCACTGAGGCCTTCTAGAGCCTCACAGTGTGTTTCCATGGAGAGAGTGAGCTGGCTGAAGGAGGAGGCAAGATATGGAAACTGGACTGCACTGGCTTCCTGTTAAGTCCAGGCCCCCCGCCAGGCCCACTGTCTTCCATTGCACCCTTCCACCTGGATCTTGCTTGCAGTCCTCCCCATGGCGGTCATTCAAGTATTGAGTACCATGGTCCATGTGTGTGCTGTGGTTGCCACACAGTTGAGGAGGAGGAGTAAGAGGAGGTGGAGTAAGAGGAAGAAGAGTAAGAGGAGGAGGAGGAAGCAGAGGAGGACGAGGATCAGGGTGGCAACAACTCCCATCCGCCCTGCTTTCTCCACACATCTGCATGGTACTGTCCTTCCCTTTATTCAGGGCTCTGTCCAGGAGCCTCTCCCCTTCTCTGAACATGCCCCCAGGAAAGCACCCTTCTTTCTCATTCTCTATTTCTTACCCTATTTTATTTTTCATCACACTTGGAATTTCCCAGCATTACCTATTTGTTTCTTACCTGCCTGCCCTACTGGAGCATCAGGTGTCCAGGGAGGGGCTTGTCTCTGTCCTGCCCTTCTGTGTCCCCAGTGTCCAGGGAGTGCTGGGCACACGGCTGGCACTCAGTGTATGTTTGCCAAATGAAGAAGCAGGGCTTGCTGTGGGCCAGGCCCTGGGCCAAGCCCTTGGCATCCATGGCCCAGTCCTCGACCAGCAAGTCTCCAAGGGAATGCGGCGGGGATGCTGCTGCCCCATCTCGCAGAGAAGGTCATCGAAGCTTAGAGAGGTGGGGTCCCTGGTCCATGTCGCACAGCTGGAGAATGGCAGAGCTAGGGTTCAAGTGGAAGGCAGGGCCTGTGCTTTCAGCCACTGCTGCAGATGCCAGCTGGTACAGAGCTGAGCCAGAACTAGGATGTTCCTCTGGCCAGGGCCGTGCTGCGGAAACAGTGGCAGGGCGTGCATGAGGGGGCGGGAGTAATAGGAGCTGTAACAGCCGATGTGGGGTGAGCGCTTGGCATGGGCGGGCAGTCTGAAGAGCACCCCCCAGTGAGCCTGTGTGCCTGACGCCCACAGTCCGGGCCTCCTTCCATCCTGTCACAGTGTAACCTGCAAGTCACTCTACTTCTTCAGACCCCTCCTACTTTTTAACAAAGTAGTGTTTGTTGTTTTAAATCACCTTTAGGCAGACAGCTGGACCACTTGCCATCTGCAGTCACCTCTTCCAATTCTGGGCTAAACTGAGTGGTGCATTGGGCCCACAGGCCCTCAGGCAGTGGACACCTGCCCCTCATAGACACACCTGTGTGGGCAGCACATGCCTTCGGGCTGCACACAGTGGGCCTTCTGCTAACTTGTCCAGGGGCGTTTAATGTCTTTATGTCCTGATGATAGCATCTGGTGTCAGGTAAAGTGCTGTGTTAAATTTGAGTAAAGCTGAAGAGATGAAGCCAAATATCAGTGGTTACTTGGCCAGGAAGTGTCCTGGGAAGCAGAGGAAAGAGCCAGGCTTGCCCCCTTGTCTCCCTGGACAAAGCCTGCAGAGCAAGGTCTTGTTTTAGGTCTGCTCTGCACCATGCATGGGGCTAAGTGTGTCAGAGATGTTACATGACACATAACCACGGAGCAATTCTTGAGCACCACTCACTGTTCTGGACCCCGGGGAAGTAGCTGTCAGCTGAGCAGAAGCATCCCTTCTTGTGACAGACCCATCACTGCCTCAGGCACATTCACAGGGACCCTCTGGGCACAGTGGGCTGAGGAATAAGAGCCAGCAAGACCCACAGCCAGCCCTGGCCTGGAGGGCCTGTCTTCAGGCCCGTACTCCAGGCGGGGAAGGAGCATAGCCCAAGCCCACCCCCACTTTCATAGATACGGCCTTCCCAGAGCTCTCCAGGCCCTTGGTCTTTGTACTGTCCCCAGCTTCTTCACAGTGCGGTGATAGGGCAGTTACCTGCCACACGGCAGGTGTGGCCTTCAAAGCCTGAACTGCCCGCTCTATAGCCCTGGACAGAGGAAGTTTGCCGAGGTCTTCCTTGCCTTTGAACCGCTACAACACACTGTCGCATTTGAGGAAGTTCTGTGCCATGTATTGAATATTTACGGCTGGAGGAGCCTTAGTTCGTTTTTCTGAATTTCCTTCCTTTTACCCCCTTCTCTGAACAAATTCAGATACAAAGGCCTTTTCTCTTGTGAATGAGGATTTAAAATAGCAGCTAGCCAGAAGGGCTATTGGGAAAATGAGACAATGGCTTCGGGGAAAGCCTGGTTCTAGAACTTTCTGAATCTGTGAGAGGCACGAAAATTGTTATCCTTCTGAATGATGCTTGTGAGGCTTCTCCCTAAGTCTCCAAAAGCGGGCTCTGGAGCCAGACCTTGGCTTGCTTGGAACCCCTGCACATCCCCCACAAAGCTGAGGCTGCAGGGCCTATGGCCTCTTCCTCTGGCTATGTGCCTAAGCAGGTGCCCTCTGCCTCTCTCTGCCCAGCTCCCAACGTGGAGACCAAGCCCCTGCTGACCTGGCAGAAGGCTCAGGAGACAGTGCCCTGGAACATCATTCTTCTCTTGGGAGGGGGCTTCGCCATGGCCAAAGGCTGTGAGGTAAGTGCCAAGGAGCCCAGGGACTGCAGCCCCGGGGGCAGGAACAGGCATGGCACAGGCCCCACCCATCAGCACAGCCAGTCTCGTCTCTGCCTTAGCAGGATGATCACAGCTGCCACCTCGTGGGCCCAAGCTCAGTACCAGTGCTGTGGAGAAAGGGGGAAGGCGGTACCATCTGGCCCTCAGGGGTACTCACAGGCCACAGGAGTAGAGGGGAAACAGCACATTGTGCTCACCTCATGCGCAGCCTGTCCAGTATGCGTCCCATGGGGCATCTCCTGCAGACCTCCCAACAACCTGGGGGTGAGATGATCTGAACCCAGCCTGGCTCTGAGGCCAGGGGAAGAGGTGACCTTGCCACCCAGAGGCTGCTCCAAGCTCAGCGAGGGCTGCATGTGGCCTGGGGGTTGGGCAGCACAATGCATGCCTGGAGGCCAGTCTGGCTCTGAGCCCAGCCCTGGCAACCACCAGACTTTTTGCTCAACTGGCCTTTGTAGTGTAGCTGCCCCTTTCCTCAGCTTCTGCCAGTACCATGCTATTTGGGGTTGGCCTCAGCCTGTCCCCACAGTGCCCAGAATTTTTGGGGACACCCAGGTCCCTGGAGCCTGTCCAGGGTCTTTGCTGCACGGTAGCAGGCCTCCAGAGGCTTGGAGGTTCGGGTGGGGTAGGGGCTGGCTGTGTGGGCTTCCCACTGCTAGAAGCATTTTCTGTAGCTTACCTCGAGCTCCAGCACTCAAAGACTTCCTGGGTCTGCACGTGGGACCACACATGGCCTGGCCCCTGCCTACCACCCCTACGATGCCCACTACCTCTCCACGTTGTTCCGCTATTCTACTGGCCCCTGCCATTTCTCAGCCACACCAGTCTTGTTTGTACCACAGGACCTTCGCACCTGCCTTTCTGTGTCACGTATTCTCCTGGAGCTCTCTCAGTCCTCAGTCCTCACTTTCTAGCTCCTCAGAGATGGGCTCTCTGGCCACCATCTAGGGTAGTGCCCACCTCCTCTTCCTCTCACCACTCTGCTTATTTTCTTTATTCCACATCCCCCAACACGATCCTGTCCTTCTGTGTGTCTATAGGTGATCTCTCCTAGGAGAAGGCAGGCTCTGTAAGGACAGGGCCATACCTGTCCCATTCACCTTGGTCCAGGCATCAGGAGATCAGCAGGGTCCCAGGGCTGCATGGTGTTAGCAAGTATTTGTCGGTGCGACCTACACCATGGGGTGCTTTGAAGCTGGTAAGATAATAGGGAAGGTACCTGGAGGAGAGCAGGTGCCCTTTGCCCTGTCACCATCACTGCCCTTTGCCCTGTCACCATCACTGCTGCTAATATGCTGCCATCCAGGGGTGAAAACATGGTCTTATTCTGTTGCCTTCATATATAAAAAATTTCTACAACAAACAACTGCACATAGTTTGAAGTTATAGTCGCTTGATATTAAGGCCACGCAGCAAACCCTACAGGCACATAAAAATACCTTTTATTTTTTGTTAGAAATTGTAGTCACCTTTATTCCTATTACCATCATTGTTTTCATTATCATATAATCCAGACTCTGAGCTCCAAATCACTAGGAAAAATCACTTCTCTCATTTGGACAAATAACTTGCCCTTTTTGTGCCTCACTCGCTTCAATCATCAGATGTTGGGGGGGGGGCGCGGCCAAATAGCTCAGCGGATTAAAGCTCCTGCAAGCAGGCGCAGGGGTCGGGAGTTCGATCCCTGGGCCTGCTGCACTGGCCCCTCCTCTGGGGTGTGCTGAGGCAGCAATTGAGATTGGGCATGGTGGCTCACTCCTGCAATCCCAGCTCTTGGGAGGCTGTAAACAGGTGGATCACTATGAGTCCAATCTGGTAGTGAGACCCTGAACACCCTGAAGACCCTTCCCTAAAATACAAAAACAAAAAACAAAAAACAAAAAACAAAAAAACATCAGATGGGGATAGTTGTATGCCCTATTTCATGGGGCTGTTATGAAAATTAAATAAGCTAGTATGGGCAAAGCTGGGGAAGACCTTGGTTTGCAATTATAACTCATTCTGGAAACATAATACAAAGCACTTGTATATCAAAGTGAATTTCCCCATAATAAATAACGGAAACTCATGATTTGCTCCACAACCCAAAAATATTCACCCAAAAATGATCTCAGTTCAGGAAGATAGTTCCACTATCTAAGCGCCTGCCTGGCAAGCACAAGGACCTGGTTTGATCACCAGTACCGAGTGCCATGCTGGTTCTGCCCTGGGCCCATGGAGCCGGCCACTGTAACCAGGTGTGGTTGTGTGCGCCTGTAATCCTAGCACTGGGGAAGCTGAAAACAGGAGGATCACTGAGTCTGAGCTGCATAGCGAGACCCTGTACCAAATACATACATTTTAAAAAGAAGGTTGTAGTACTGTAATATATTGCAAGGTAATAAGGAAAATACAAATTATAAAAAAAGTAGACAAGTTCACCTGTACTTACCTCTGAAAACCTTTGTAGCTGATGTAGGCATGAAAAGAGAAGAGGGTTGGTGTGCAACATGACTTTCACTGCCACTGTCACTGTCAGAATCACTGCTGTCATTTGGCTTGCTGGAATCTTTTTCTCTCCATGCAGCTTTAACAAGGGACCTATCCAATGACACTGGCTTTTGCCTCCTTTCAACTCTTCCACAGAGATGTGGTGTCACATTGTCATGAAACAGATTCGTCACTCACACTGCTGCAGCCTTATGGGGTGGAGCCTTTGACATAACTCTGCGCCATTCCCCACATTGTGTACCTCTTCCCAATCTCATTTGAGGTGTGAATTCCTCTGTCTTTTTCTCCTCCTCCTCTGCAGACGAGGTCTCCTCCATATCCTCTTGCTATTGGGACCAACCACCCACAATCCTGGGAGGTGGGGCGGGGGTTGGGGTGAGCACCACCAGCTAGAAGCAATTCCTCATCTTGTAGAGCTCTCAGGAAACAAGCGACCTGCAATCCAAGGTTTTCCTGCACTTAGAAGACTGCCCAGCATGGTGTGAGCACTAAATTAAGTGCTTGTGAGGTTAAATAAATAACAAGTCACATGCTATGTTTACTATGTACTGGGACCGCTTGTGCATGGACTTACTTAAACCTTACCACAATCATTTAAAGAACTCAAGGAAGGCAGAGGTTAGATAACTTGCCAGAGTTCACGCATCTTGCCTGCCTCCAGTGTTCCGGTGTTCACACCCATGCACAAAACCTTTACTTTTTTTTCCTCCCTTTAGTCCAATTGGCTGGTTTTTCTGCCTAAGAATGGTTACACAGTATTTGCCAAGGCCACCCTTTCATGAGCCTTTTAAAAGATTTTCAAAGGCCCCCAGGGAATTCTTTTTTTTTTTTTTTTTTAATTTTTGTTTTTTATGTGTTTGGTGCAGGGTCTCGCTATGCAGCTTGGACTTGTAGTGATCCTCCTGCCTTCAGCCTCCCCAGAGCTGGGATTACAGACATGCAGCCCTAAGCCCAGTCTCGGTGGCCTACTTAGCGTGCCAGGGGGTAGGGCCAGCATAGCATGTGGCGCCAGGGACTGAACCTGGTCCCTGAGCTCGCCTAAGCAGGTACTTAGTCCACTGAGCTGTCTCCCTGGCCTCCCCCAGAAAATTTTGATTCTGATCATTAAACCATAACTTGCTCCTTGTGAGCCTCAACCCTGATATATAAAAAGTGATCAAAGGAGGGTCTGGCTGCAGTTGGGAAGGAGAGAGTGGGAGGGATCATCGTGACAACCCAGGCCCCCTCCCCCACCCTGCACAGGGCCTCAGGGCCTCTGGTCCCTCTGAGGTCCCAGTGGATCACAGCCTGAAAATGTTGCATCGGGGGACCTCTGGCCTCTCCTGGCTTGATGGCACCAAGAAGTGCAGCTGTCACACACTGGCGTGTCTACCAGCACCTCGCCCCTCTTCTAGGTACCTGGCTGATCTATTCCTTTTCTCCCAACAATGACCCTTGGGGTCGTGCATCATTATCCTGGCTTTACAAACCAGGGAACTGAGTCCCAGAGAGGGTAAGTTTCTTGGCCAGGGCAGCAGCTAGAAGGGATCAAGCTGGGCTGCACATGGAGCCCGGCCCCAGAGCCTTCTCTCTGCACTCTCCAGTCCTGCTGCCTTGGACCTTGGCTGTTGTTGGTCCCCAGTATCCCTGGAAACCTGCAAGGAGACGGTTTCCAAGGAAATGGAGCTTCCGATTCCTAAGAAGGGTGCGGAGTCCCCTTAGTGTCCCCACAGGACCCCAGGAAGCTGGAGCTTTCCTCTCTCATGAAGCTGCCAGACTTCCCCACAGTTAGGAGGCCAAGCTGGGCCCCAAGGGCTGTGGGGTGTTGGCTGTAAGCCTGGCCCTGAGAGGCCGAGCTCCAGGGAAGCACTTGGTGTCCCCTCACCCAAGTCATCAGCATTCGCTGCAGCAGCCTCTCTTCTTTTAAGTGCACACCCTGCTGTTGGTCTCTGTGCCACAGCCGTGGCCTGGGGAAGAGCCGGGGCCCATTCTTCCTTAGGGTGCCCCTGGCCAGAGAGGGCTGTGCCAGACTGCCCAACAGTGCAGGGGTACAGCAAACACCATCAGTCCACCAGGACTTTCCCAAGGTGAAACATTTTTAAGCATTTATAATTTGTGCATTGGAGGCAATTTTTAAGTCAAACTGGGAGAGAATATCATATCTGATTTTATTTTTGTAAAGACAATACAGTGTAGGGTGTGATGGCGCATACCTGTAATCCCAGCACTTGGGAGGCTGAGGCAGGAGGATCTTCAGGAGTTCAAGACCAGCCTGGGCTACACAGTGAGTTCAAAACCAGCCTACACTGCATAGCAAATCCTTGTCTCAGGAAAAAAAAAAGTTATTTTAGACTTCATTATAAAACTTTTAAGTTCTAAAAAGCAGTAAATGTTCTATTACCCATAAAAGAGAAATGTATTATATTTCTTTAGTAAAACAACTTACATTGATGCCAGAGGATACTGAGTTGGTAAAAGGATTGTAGGATTATGTTATGGATGTATTTAATTCTCAGCGTTAAGAGACTAATCTGACCCTGCCCTTGCTTAGTTCCTAAACTTACATCCAACTTGTTGTTCTTTCTTCTTTTCCTCTTCTGGGGATTGAATCCAGGGCCTTCACACTAAACCACACTCTCAACCCTTTTTAATTTTTATTTTGAAACAGTCTCTCTAAAGTATACTAAGCTGGGGCTGGAGAGATGGCTCAGTGGTCTAAAGCACTTACTTGAAACAAGCTTGGCAAAGCACAGGGACCGCGGTTCGATCCCCCAGCACCACATGCCAGCCAGCCCCGCCCCCTGGTGGGCTGAGCTGGCCACACACACACACACAATAAATAAATGTAATAAATAAAAATAAATAAATAATTTAAAAAAAAATAAAGTATACTAAGCTGCCCAAGCTAGGCTTGAACTTGTGACACACCTACCTCAGCCTTCCAGAGTGCTGGAATCACAGGCATGCATCACCACACCCTGGAGCTCTGGGATTTTTGTGAAAAGATACATTTTACAACCTGCCCTTGCAGCTTTCCTGCGTTTACTGCGGTCTTGCCGCGTGGCGCCAACAGGGGGCAGCATCGAGAATAATGTGAAGCAGCAGCTTTGTGGTTGTTGTGAAGATCTGCATAACGGGGTGGTTGGTGGATACAGGACGTACATTTGACAGTAGGAAGGATGAGGCAGGGTGTTACTTTATATACTGGTCGCTGGGGTGATTCCTGGAGGAACCAGCAGAGAGAGTAGCCCAATTATTCTATAGCGTGGGCGCCAGTGGAGTGGAGCGGGCCCACCCTGTGCCTCCCTGCTATCCGCGCAGTCCCCCGGCTGGAGGACTGCGGTCAGCTCCGGACACTGCTCTTCTTTGAGAGGCAAAGTGGCCGGGCAGCAGTAGGGCAGGTCTGTGATCCCAGCTACTCAGGAGGCTGAGGGTGGAGGAGGTATCTAGTGCGGGCCCAGCGTGGGCACCTTAATGAGACCTTGTCTCAAAATAAAATCACAAAAAGGAGCTGGGGATGTAGCTCAGGAGTAGAGCATTTACCTAGCAGGTATGGGGGCTTGGGTTCCAGTCCCAGAACTACAGAAAAGAGTGTAGGAGGCAAAGTGACAGACCCATGAATCCCAAGGGAGATGTGGCGTGCTCGGGAGCTTTGCAGAGGTAGAGGTGCCATTCGGTCACTACTTTAATAGTGGTGCCCAGGCAGGTCACCTGGCTTTTGCTCTTTGCTACAACAGGGACAGTAATACCACCCCACAGGATGGCTAGGAGGACCCAACAGGAAACAGAGCAGAGTCTGGTGGGTCTATGACAAGGCATGGCGGCACAATGTTGACATTAATGCTCTCGTTATTGTCATGGTGACCAGCATCCTTATTGGTGATCACATTGCATTACATTATATATATATATATATATATATATATATATATATATATATATATATATATATATATATATATGATACATGTTTTTATATATGCTATATAGGGTTATTGCATAAGCAATAAATGCATTTGGTGCATAGCAATGCCATTATATAATAATGAGTATTTTATGTGCTGCTATTTGGTTCATGAATCAATACCAGTGCAGGAATAAGATTTACAATGAAGGGCCAGCCAAATAGCTCAGGGGATTAAAGCACCTGCAAGCAGGTGCAAGGGCTGCGGGTTCGATTGAGACTGGGTGTGGGTGGTGTGCGCCTGTAATTCTGGATCACTATGAGACCGATTTAGTAGTGAGACCATGAACACCCTGTAGACCCTTTCCTAAAAGTACAAAAATACAAAAAAAAAAAAAAGATTTGCAATGAGGCATCTGATTCCCCTCTCCTACTCAAGCCAGAGCACCAGGGGCCAGGACCAAGTAGAAGGGGTGCTTCTGGCTTATCCAGAGGGATTATCAGGGACCCCAAGGGTGGGCATGCAGGGGGTCTGAGAAGCAGAGAGGCTTCTGGACAAATCAATGAGGCACCTCAGGCATGTCCCATCCCTCTGTGGCCCGCTGTCCCCTCTGTGAAGGGCAGTGCTGTCCTTGTTAGGGCGAACCCCAAGCCTCTCCCTGGCCCAGCGCTGGGCGTGACGGCCACCCCTGCCCACAGGAATCAGGGCTCTCAGTGTGGATCGGGGGGCAGCTGCACCCACTGGAGAACGTGCCCCCCGTCCTGGCCGTGATGCTCATCACCATCGTCATCGCCTTCTTCACGGAGTTCGCGAGCAACACGGCCACCATCATCATCTTCCTGCCTGTCCTCGCAGAGCTGGTGAGCGTCCTTCTGAGGGGCGAGAGGGTCCCTCTGGCGTGGGCACATCCTCAGGGGTCGCGGTTGCCGTCCCTGTCTCCCTAAACACATGAAGGTTTCAGAGCCATTTCTTAAACAACAGGGACATTTTTCTTCAAGAAGTGCATAAGCGGAATAAATGGTTTCAAAGTGTATCCCTTTGCCTCATTCTCCTTTGGTGACATGGAGAATTTCCTGGGAATACGGAAGCTACCGAATTTGGATTAGGACAATCCAGAATGTCTCCAGATACTGCTACACCCGGTTGAGAGCCTCTGCTCTAAAATCGCCAGCGCAGGATGCTCTCATCAGGGAGGGCCTGGAACGGTTTATCCAGAATCCTTTCGCTGGCTGAGAGCCGCACAACCCTTGTGTGAGGTCTGAAACTCCGACACTAAATCCACACACAGACCGCAAAGGTGGGAAAGCAGTCAGTGTCTCATGTAAGCGAAGATACAGAGACTGCAGCAAGGTGAATCCGGGTATTTTGCGAAGAACAATACATCACATCCAGGTAGATTTTACACCGAGCATTTTCAAAAGGATTAACATTAGGCAACCATTAATACAGTTTTCTACTTAAACAGATGAAAGGAGTCCAAACCATAGGATTACCTTAATATAATCCAAAGCTAATAAAATTAAGCCTCTGTTGCAAGTACATATGATTGATACGCAGTTAGAAATGCAGCAGCTCATCACCTTTTTTGGGGTGGGGTCATGATTTACTTAGTATGGGCATCGATTTGCATTGAGGATCACACTGCGCCGGTGCACAGAGGCATACTCGACTTTTTCAATGACTGGCAAATATTCCTCTGTAGTGGGATAGTTGTAGGTTTACTTAAGCAGGCTCCTCCTAATAGGCATAGAGGTGTTTGCAGGCTTGCTGTTTAACAATCTGCTCTTGATCTTGACCCAGGCCTGCATCTTTGATTATATTTAGAGAAATTCCTAGAACAGAGAGTCCTCAGGTAAAGAGCATGTGCATTTAAATGCTGTTAGGTCTGGGCAAATTGTGCCCCAGAGTGGCCCCCGTTGAGTCCCACAGCTGCGTGGATTGGGGGTCTTGACACCCTCAAAGTGTAACTGGGTTTAATCAATCAGATCTGAGGAAACTGGAAAACAAAGAGAAATGGAGGGAGGGGTCACATTTTCTGAAAAAGACACTTGTGAAAGACACATTCTTCTAAATTGTACTTCTCATCAAAATTAAGTCATTTACACACAAGAGGGTGGCGTGGGAGCTTTTTGCAAAATGTGCATGTTTTGGGTTCCACAAATGCGCTAGAGGGCCCCAACATGTTCTGTCTTAAATAAAATGCTAGAGAGCTGACCAGCTTGATTTACAGGTAAGCATAGCATCTGGGAGAGGTGAAGAAAGGGCGGCCCACTGCCCAAGACCAAGCCTCAGGCACGTTTCCTGCGTGGCTTTGGAAATGGGAAATGTCATTGAATGCTGTCCTCAGCTCTGCTGCCTCTGGAATCCAGTCAGGACACCTCAGGAGCCACCCAGAGGCAGCCGCTGGGATGGTTTGGCTGTGGAGGGAGGAACCAGGCAGGGGAGTTGTCCTGTTAGAGCTCCGGTTCTTAGTGTGTGGTCCCTGAGGCCCCCAGATGGAGCATCCACTGGGGACCTTGTGAGGAATGCAGAGTCGTGGACCCCACTCCGATCTACAGGGTCAGGATCAGCTGGTCTCGGGGAAGCGCAGTCCTTCGTCTGGATTTTCAGGGAGAAGAGTGATTCTGATTCATGTACACTTGAGAATTAAGGCTCTCGATAAACCGTGGTCCTACAATGTCACTGACCTTTGCAATGTCTCTCTCCACCTCTCTGCCTGGGTCTCTGCTGGTTGGCTTCTCTCTCTGTATTTCTGGTTGCATGTCTGTCTGTCTGTCTCTCTCTTTTCGGGGGTCTTTGATTGCTCTCTGCCACTCTGCCAATCTCCTTCTTTATGTCCTCATTATGACTGTATGTCGCTGTCCCTTGCTGGGTGTCCTCTGTGTCTTGTCCCTGTCGCCTGGCCAGGCCATCCGCCTGAGGGTGCACCCGCTGTATCTGATGATCCCGGGCACAATCGGCTGCTCCTACGCCTTCATGCTGCCGGTCTCCACACCCCCCAACTCCATCGCCTTCGCTTCTGGAGACTTGCTGGTCAAAGACATGGTGAGTCTGGGCATTTCTACTGGTGTCCTGGGAAGCAGGGGGCACCAGCAGGACCCTGACCTCTGCAGCCCACCCCAGCCTCTGAAAGGGTCATTCTGAGTGGGGCTAGGCATTTCAGGGACGGCAAACACTGGGATGAAGCACACATTTAGGCTGTTACCACAGCATGGCCTAGTAATGGCTTTCCATGGCTGGCTTCTGAGACAAGGGAGTCACCACTGTATTTAAACACTGCTCTGTTTTCCTGCTTGTTTGCCAATGTTCCCTGCCCAGAATTTTTAGAACGCAGGGACAGCAGATACACCCAGGGAGTTAGAGATTTAGGAGTGGGTCTCATTGCCCAGCCAGGCAGAGAGCAAGATGGGGAAAAGCTGAGGGCTATGGCAAGCAAGGGCCACCACACCACACTGCCACCTTTCGGAGGCCACTGACAGTATGTTCCATTCCCCTAGCAAGGCAACTACTCCCTGCTGAGGCGAATCCTCCTCCTCTCCTGCCCCCAGCAGCCACTTCCCTCTCCAGTGTCCTGAGCTGTCAGCAGTCCAGAACTGCCATCTGCCTAAGCAGTATCGACACCCAGCAAGATGAATGGCTAAAGAGCCAGCAAGAGAGAGGAGAGGCAGGAGGAGATACCCGGAGGGAGACAGCCCTAGTCCCTGCCCATTTCTTTCTTTCTTTTTTTTTTTTTTTTTAATTTTATTTATTTATGTGTGTGTGTGTGTGTGTGTGTGTGGCCAGCTCAGCCCACCAGGGGGTGGGGGCTGGCTGGCATGTGGTGCTGGGGGATTGAACCGTGGTCCCTGTGCTTTGCTAAACTTGTTCCAAGTAGGTGCTTTAGACCACTGAGCCATCTCACCAGCCCTCCTGCCCATTTCTTGCTGGGGTTTTACTGCATGCACTACATGCTATAGCCACCAGGGGCAACAGAGCCAGCTCCAGGGAGCGAAATGGACAGTAGATTAGCTCAGTGGGTTTCTATAATGTAGATTTCAGTACTGCTAAGTGTTATGAAGGAAATAATACATGGGGCATGGGGCAGGGGAAGAGGATGATGGGGTCACCTTAGGTAGGGTGGGCAGGAACAGCCTTTCTGAGGAGGGGACGTGTGAGCTGAGAAGGGGCAAGAGAAGCAGGCAGCCTTAGAAGGGCTGACAGGCAGAGGGGCACAGGAGCTGGGTGAGGAGCGGCTCTGTGTGCTGGGACCCTAGGAGAGCAGTTGAGGGATGGGCTGCCGGGTCAGGACACAGACCCGGCACACAGTTCCCACCGCAGTGGGAGGCTTGAGTGGGGCTGAGTGGAGCTGTGGCCCTGTAACTGCCACCTTCAGTGGGTCACTTGAGCTGACAAGGAGGGAGGGACAGGTGTGGAAGCCGGCAGGCCGCACACAGAGATAGTGAGGGGCAACCCTGCACACGGCTCAGGTTTGGAGAGCAAAGACACAGGGAGAGAGAGGAGAGGACCCCAGAGGCAGAGACGGAGATGGTGCCAAGAGGCTACCCCAGCAGGCAATGTGTGGCTCACCTGCAGGATTTGCTCCCCAGAGTTCTGGCTTCTTTGCTAATTAGAGTAACACTGTGGGTCCAGAGAAGTTGGGGCCAGGCTCCCAGAGCCCAGGGTGGGCTGTTTCTCCCCTAAGAGTGCCAGGGGCTTCCAGCCCCTCTGGTCAGGGTGGCCGAGCACAACACATGTGCCCTCCTCTTGGCCTCTCACCTTCACAATGTGTGCCCCTTCTGCAAACCATCCTGGTTACCCAACTATTTTACTAAGTTAGTTTTGTAGACTTAAATAAGAATGTTTAGAAAGAAGATTCCAGTGCACACATGCATGGAAAACTAGTAGTGTATATGAAGAAATAAAAAAGTAAGTTAGTTTTATCCTGACGACAGTTGCTTGGAAAGGTGCCAAGCCTCTCTTCCTGTTGCCAAGAGCAGCAGGCAAGGCAGCGAGAAGGCTGAGGCAGGAGAGTGCCAGGGAGATCTGCACTGTGAGCAGTAGGATCTTGAGAGTTCTGGAAGAGGAAGCCATCCTCACCGTAGACTCAGGCCAGGGGAATGCTAACCAGGAATATGAAACAGGAAAACAGTCCTAAGGTGGACTGAAAAGTAAAGAGACCAACCAGGGGAGAGAGCATGGGGACAGGTGCTCTCCAGGTACTCGGAGAGGTAAAATTTCCAGAGGAAAAATTCTTCCCAATAGACCATATAGCTTACCTGGTCCTGAGTGTGTGCTGCATATGTGTATGTGCATGTGTGTGTATGTGCATGTGTATGTGTGCATTGCATGTGTCTCCGCATGTGTGTTGAGTGGTGGTGCTACATGACTACTTGCAGGTGGACTGGCCTTGGGCAAAGCAGCTACTGTGGACCTCATGTTCCTCTTCCGTCACAGTGGGTTGATAATGACCTTCAAATGGTTGCTTTCATGGTTAAATGAGTAACCCTGTGAGAACTGCACGGGATGCCTGGTACCATCTAGAAGCCACTCAGGGAGCAGGGAGGCTCACAGCTCCCTGCAGGATGGCTTTGGGTGGTGTGAGATGGATGGAAGGATCTTGGGCATTGGCTGATATGGGTTTGTGGTCTGGCCCATCCCTCCCCAGCTGTTGGCTTTCCAGGGAAAGATGTTCTGCCTCTGAGGCTCAGTTTCCCCAGCGGTGCAAAGGGCCTGTGCCGAGCCCCGCCCAATCTGAGCTCTGTTTCAGGTCCGGACCGGCCTCCTGATGAATGTGATGGGTGTCCTGCTGCTCAGCCTGGCCATGAACACCTGGGCGCAAAGCATCTTTCAGCTGGGCACCTTCCCAGACTGGGCTGACATCCACGCGACCAATGCCACAGCGGTGCCACTTGCCTTGACGAACAACACACTTCACAACCTCTGACACACGCACACCCCAGGGGTTCCTTTGGGCTGGGCAGATATCCAGCAGCACAGCACTTGCTGGGACCCTACAGGATAATCAAGAAATTCCTTTCTGTAATCCAATATGCAGCAACCACGGAGACCTCCGGGTCCTCTGAGGACCGCAGTCTCTGTCTAGGACGCCTTCCCTTTCTGTCTCATGTTGTTCAAGGCCCAGCCATTGCCCAGATCTGCTGCCTTATCCAGCTCCTCTCTGTGACCTGTCCTGTGGTTAGGGCATCATAGAGTCCAACCTGGTCACACCTAGCAAGTCTGGCATGTGTGTTTGTCTTGTACACTTGGGATAGGAAGCTGTGGGCACCCCTCCAGGGGGTGTAGAAACTTTTCCTCATGGACTACTTTAGGGGTCCCTGGAGAGACCCTCTTGCTTCTAAGGACCACTTTGCCTACAGAGACTTGGCAACCAGAATGTTCCGGGCCAGATTTTGAAGCTGTCTTGGCTTGGTTGGTCTGTGTTTGGCTGGTGCCTGTTCTGAGCCAGCTGTTTGGTTAGCATCTCTTCGGATACCCAGCAGCAAGGGTTGGAGGGACGGGTGACTTCCTGAGGACATGGGGACTGCAAAGCTGCCATGTGGATCTCAGGGCTCCTGAGCACACTGGGGAGTGAGGACCCCATGCTAACGTCTCTACCCCAGACCCTGAGGGTTCTCCTCTTCCATCTGACTGAGCTTGACCATAATCCCAAGGTCAGGCCAGTTCTGGGCCTGATCCTTTCACAGGTCACCCACAGCTCCTCCAGCTGGGACCTCCTGCATGGGCCCTTGGGAGCATCTGTGGCTATGAGTCACCTCCTGTTTTTCTTGCCCTGGCAGCTGGTCCCCCTCTTGCCCCAATGGTAAGCATGTCTAATTTACAAAGGCCACAGAAGCCCATGGTAAAGTGTCTCTGGTGGGCAACATATTGTAATCCCCTTGCAAGGATGGGGCCCTGAGACATTTCCACCAGCCGTGGCCAGGGTTGGGCAGGTCCCAGTGGGCATCAGCACTCCTAGGTTCTAGCAGGGGTGACCTGCAGTCCCACACCTGCACAGTGGTGGACACAGACACTCAGGAAGCTTCTGCTAGAGGGGTCCAGGCAGCTCAGTGTCAGAAAGGACCAGCGAGGTCCCTCTTCCCCAGCCTGCACCCTAGGTCCTCTGAGGAGCACCCAGTCAGGGTGTCTGAGCCCCCTGTGTTGGAGACAAGCCACACCTCCTTCCCTGGGGGGGCAGTCAGTACGGACTCAGTCTCAGCCCATCTGATCATGTGTGTGTGTGTGGGGCGCCCTCCTGTGGGACAGGAGGGAGAAGTTCATGTGAGAAGAAACTCCAGAACCTGTGAGCAGAGGGTTCATGATTCAAATACTTCTGATCAAAAATGCCATGAAATAAAGACTGTTAATCAACACTGGAACAGGAGACTCTGTCCTTGTAAGCGTATGAAGCCCTCCTAGCCCTGAACGCCTGGGCTCTGAGCTCCATCTCCCCAGCTCTCCCCCTCCTCTCTACTCCACACACCCGCACCCTGCTGCCTCGGGGCCTTTGCGTGTGCAGTTCCCTCCTCCTGGATCCCTCTGCTCCCAAATACAGGCCAGACCCCCACTCTCGCTTTGTTCAAGTTCCTGCTCAGATGTACGTCACCTGCCAAGGGACGATGCCTCCCTGACTGCCTTCCTAAAGGATTGTCCTTATTATTCTCTGCCTCTGTTTGTTTCAGCATTTAGGGCCCTGGGTCATGTCTTTTCTTGTTTATCAGCTTTCTCTCCCTCCTTCTGGCACCTAAATGTAGAAAAATATGGACTTCACTTTGTTCTTAGCTGTAGCTTTGGGACCTGAACCAGTCTCTGGCACACGACAAGTGTTCAGCATGTATTTGATACATGACTCTACTGCAGATGTAGGAGAAAGCAGGCTTGTTGGCTGATCTGAGGTCTCTTCGGTTTATTGCTTTGTCACCTCATTCTCCCATTTGTTCATTCAACAAACCTTTACTCAGAAGCTGTGATGCGCTGGCTCTGGTTCCCTCCCTACCCTGGCGAAAGAGATGAGCAGTAGGAAGGAAAGCAGATAAAGTGACTCTGAGTCACATTTGTAGAAAAAAAAAAAAAAAAAAAAGGCAAACTGACTCAGAGGCCAGGGTGGTCAGGCAGGAATTCTCTGAGAAGGCGCCAGGGGGCCCCAGAGGACTCAGCCAAAGTTCATGCAAAGCACATGGCCTTGTGGAAGGGAGAAGGTCTGGGAGGGCCCACGGGGAGGACCACCAGGCAGGGAGGTAGCCCCAGTTTGCTGTGTGCTTACAGCTGGGCCTTTGTCCCATTCTTCTGGCTGGTGACCAACTCTCTCTGCAACCCCCTTGGAAACGCCCTGTCCCTCCCATGACTGCTCTGATGAATTGGGGTCTTATCTGTGTGGAAGGGTTTTGCCACTGTTGGCATGAAAAATCTGTGGGCTGAAGTGAAGTGGGGCACCACTGCGATGTGCTGGTGGCTGTGCGGGAAAAAGTGGGTGATGGCTGGTACCAGGCCATTGGAAATAGACACAGGTCAGAGAGGACAAAGCCACACAAAGCAGAAATCTTGTTTCTGTTTTCTGTGGCTGCATAGCAAACCACCCCCAAATTTCATGCTTGAAACAGATTCATCAGCTCACCTCTCTACGCTGGAAGGGGCGGCTGAGTCCTGGCTCTAGGTGGCGTAGCCAAGGTCACCGGATTGGGCTGGAATGTCTGCCACTCTCCAGGGTCCCTCTTTGGGAGACTTCACCAGGACCTAGCCCAGACTTGTGTGAGACTGTGGGTCTCCAGGAGAAGGAAGGCGGTCTGAGATCCCCAGGCTTGGATGTGGAGGCCCTAGAGGGGGACTCCAGCCTCGGTGGGGGGAGTGCACATCACAGCAGGAACATCTGTGCATCTTGAGGCAGCCAGGAACCAAAGAGAGAAAGGAGAGGAGGAGCTGGGGCCCCAGTCCATCCTTCTAGGGCTCCCCAGCAGCCTAACTTTCTCCCACATAGCCCTCCACAAATCTCTGCCACAGACTAATAGTGCCACAGATTGGGGACTGAATCTTCAACCACAGGCCCTTGGGATATACTTACTCAAACCATAGCATATGAGTAAATGAAGTAGGGGGAAGAGGAGCTTCAGAGCTTCAGATAAGGGAGGAGAGAGAGAGAGAGAGAGAGAGAGAGAGAGAGAGAGAGAGAGAGAGAGAGACACAGAGACAGAGACAGAGACAGAGACACAGAGACAGCCAGATAGC